ATTCATAGTCTTTGCTCCAGGGGAAGGCATGTTACAGAAATGAAAGGAAAATCAAAGGAGTCTTCATTGCTTTGAGGTCCCAAAAATGTGCACCCTTTCATAAATACAGAAGACCCCAAGAATAGACAAAATCTCTATGACAGGGCAGGGCTTCGTAAATCCCTGATCAAACAAGCCAGGCTCCTCTCTGGCTGGGAGAAAGAGAAGATGGAGAGGAAGGAATGGGGCTAGAGATCTCTTTGGTGTGTGGAGGGATATGGCCTATATGACAGGATGGCCACCCTGCAGTCCCTTCTCCATTCTGCCCTAGGGATTTTGGGCATGCACACACATGCACCTGGTGTGAATTTTAAACTGCTAGGTCCAGGACTCGAACCGTGATTGACTATATAAAATATTTCAATTCCCCTGTCAGAATGAACTGCTCTCCTCTTTGAGCTCCAAACAGCATGGCTGTCAGCACTTGGGCTTAGCACAACTATTTGGTCCTTTATTTGAGATGGTTGTCTATGAGTCTGGCTCCTCTGTTTTTGAGCTCTCTTGGTAGAGGCTACATCTCTTTCCTTCCTTTCTCTGGCATAGCCCTGAATAAGACGTGGCACAGGGTAGACACAGTGACTGATGAAAGAATGAATAGCACAAATTACCCTGTGTAAGAAGGGCAGGCATTTGGGTTATAGAGACAATGCACGTAAGTACACAGGAATCATTCAAAACCCTGTAGTCGGTTTCATTATTGCTGTGCACGGTGCTTTCATTGGTAGAGATATTACATCCTAAATGGCCTGACCTACCCAGTTAGTGGATCTGGAAACAGAGAGCAACAGAACCATAATTCCATCTCTTTATTGTCCACATTGAGGAAACAGGTGCATAGACAGGCTCTTCTTTCAGGCCTCACAGTTTAGAGCTGCTGCCTCTTTGCCCTGGACTGTTTGCTCTTACTACATAATTATTCTCCTTCACTCAGGGATTTTCAAATTGTTTTGAATGTGTACACCAACAATTTTGGAAAATCTTAAGTAGACCTCTAAATTTTTTCATTATAATTTTGAAAAGATGTAATTTCTGTATTCCTGTAAATATAATACATAGTAAATAGCTATGTAAATTTATCTATTTATTTGTTTATTTGCCAGAGTGTGTATATGCTCCCTGGAGAGACGAAAAAAGAGGAAAAATGAGAAAGCACCTCTCAAGGAGGATGGTAATGCTGCAATTCCTTGTCCTCCATCTATCCCTCCTTTCAGGATTTTGAGCATGCATACTCACATACCTGGTGTATTTTTCAAATGGTGTAGTTGACATGTGTGATCCAGCTCATAGGCTGGCCAATATATATGTATTTAAAAGTTGAATTATTGTAAACATTTAAAAATAAAACTGTAACATCACTCTTTTAAAGGTATACAATAGGCTGGAAATACCAGTGATTTGATACCTATCACCATTAAAAAATAAAAATCCACAGTCTCTTCTTTAACATTAACTCATTTCCCCCCTTTTTCTCCTTATTCATATATCCATTCCAAAGAATGTTATCTTAATACAGTTTTTTGTTTGTTTCTTTGCTTTCTATATTTTGCTATAGGGTACATGTGCTCACTGGAGAGAGACAGAAAGAGAGACAGAGAGGGAAAGTAAGAAATACCTCCTACAGAGGGACAGCCGCATTGCAATCCCTTCTCCTCTCTTCTCTTCTTGCAATTTTTTTGGCATGCACATATATTTTCCTGGCGTTTTTCAAGCAGCAGAGTCTGAGTCTCAAACTGTGCAGTTGGCCGTGCGGGACCAAGCAACTTTAACTTCCGCACCGCCTACTGGTCCCAGTGCAGATTTTTTTTAATGCTTTTTTTTTTTTTTTTAAGAGAATTAGTCATTTTATTTTATTTATTATTATTCAATTTGACCAGAGAGAGAGAGAGAGAAAGCCACCAGGTCTGGAATTTGAACTATGGTCGCCCATGTAGGAGTCTAGTGCCTTAACCACCAAGTGATAACCACCACCCCTTTTTAAAAAAAGTTTTTCTTTCTTTCTTGAGGGAGAAAGAGATAAGTACCATGAATAAGATCCCATACCCCAATCTCCCTCCCAGAACTCTTCCAACTAGAGTATTGCTGGAGCACCCACCTGGAGGAAAGAACACAAGATTCTCCATATTGACTCAGCTTTGTTTGAATAGTGTTGAGCCACAGAGTGGTCCTTAATGTGATTTTTGTTTGTTTTAAGAGCTTTAATCACACATCATTGTATTATAATAAAAATAGTCACAGGGGCCAGCAGGTGGCATGGTGGTTAAAGGCACTGGACTCCCACATGGTCAACTGTGGTTCAAGTCCCAAACCTGGCAGCTTGCTTTTTCACTTTCTCTCTCTCTCTCACTTTCTCTTTCTCTCTTTCTCTGTCTCTCTCTCATCAAACTGGAAAATAATCATAAAGTTAAATAAAATAATTCTTTAAAAATATAGTCATATATAAACATATATATATATATATTTACATATATTTAAGAATTATTTTATTTATCTCTATTTATTTTTAATTTGACCAGAGAGGCACCGAGAGTAACCATCACGCCACCTGCCGGCCACTATATATATTTTTTCTTTTTTTTTCCTTAAAAGAATTATTTAATTTTGTTCATTGTCTCTATTTATTTATCTATTTATTTATTTTTGAAGTTGACCAGAGAGAGACAGAGAGAGAAGGAAAGTGAGAAAGCAAGCTGCCAGGTCTGAGACTTGAACTGCAGTCAGCCCTGTGGGCGTCCAGCCATCTTAACCACCATGCCACATGCCAGCCCCGTATATATATATATTTTTAAGAATTATTTTTTATTTAACTTTATTTATTTATTTTTATTTGACCAGAGAGGGAGACAGAGAGAGAAAGAGAGAGAGGGGAAGCGAGAAAGCAAGCCACCAGGTCGGGGACTTGAACTGCTGTTAGACATATGGGAGTCCAGTGCCCTTAACCACCACGCCACTTGCTGGTCCCCCATATAAACTTTCTTTTTTTAAGAGATATTTTTGCTATAGGGTGTGCATGCTCACTGGAGAGACAGAGACAGAGAGATAGAAAGCGAGAAATCATGCCCCCCCGGGGGGGGGGGATGGCCATGACGCAATTCCTTCTCCTTCATTCTCCTCTTAGGATTTTTGGCATGCATGCGCGCACATGAAACTGGGGACAGTTTAAACTGCTGGGTCTGGGACTTGAACTGGGGCAGATTACATGGGAGTCCAGCAACGTAACCATTGTGCCATCTGCTGGTTCCCAGCATATAAATTTAAATTAGACATTTTTTACTTCCAATGATGATACTTTTTTTTTAAATTGCCAAAGGGCATGTATGTTTACCAGATAGAAAGAGAGAGAGAATCCAATGCAACATGGGTGCACAGCAATTCTCCTTCCTCCATTTCTCTATGCTATCAGGATCAGGAACCTATATGCATGGGCACCTAGGGTGTTCAAGTCCCCTAGGGCTGGGATTCAATTGCAGTAGCCATGTGGGGTCCAATTGCCTACACACAACTGCTTAACCACTGCACTATGGGGCCTCCCTGGTGGCTATAATTTTTAATTTTTCCTTTTTGGATCTAGCTACCATTACAATTATAATTCAGATAGTTGATCAAAACGATATAAATAACGACCAAACAGTAAATAGATCAGAAAGATTTCCATTGGGATGTTGGGTCCGTGTATGGTGTTCTGGAATTGGCTAATGGATGTTAAACTATTTTGGCCAGAGTCTGAAAGTCCGAGGACAATTGCCCAATTTAAGTCGTATTAAAACTCTTCTATTTTTTTAAAGAATTATTTTGTTTTACGTTATTTATTTGAGAGAGCGCGAGACAGAGAGAAAGAAAGCGAGAAAGCAAGCCGCCAGGTCCTAGCCTGGAACTGGAGGTCGGCCACGTGGGAGTCCAAGCATCCTTAACTACCCCGCCACCTGCCGGCTCCAAAACTCAATTTGGGTAGTTTTTCTTTTAACATGGACAATGAATTTGGCCCCTGGGAGTTTTTATTGCTCTTGGCAATATACTGTAGTAAGATTCAGGAGGGGAAGAGGTATACCAGTTTTCGCTGGGAGGAAGAACCGCCACTAGGCAAGAGGAGGTTGAAAATGAGAACCCGAGTACGAGGGACTTCTCTGGCAGAAAGATTTCAAGAAAGAAAACGTGAGGAAGCGGACACATGCATGCCCTCACCACCTGGATAATCCTCACGTGCACTCAGGGTACGCATAGCCCTTTGAAGACCAAGGTCTGAAATCACTGCTCAGCAGTCCCACAGCCGCCTGGCAATCCCACGCCTAGCCCAGAAGAAGGGCGCGTGCATCCTCCCCGGCACCTGGAACGACGCGCGCTCCCGCCTACCGCGCGCGCTCCCCCCGCCA